TTCTTCAGTTTTGTTGTCAGTGGAAGCATCCTGAGAGGGGCAACAAAGTTGAAAGAGCAGAAAATTTACCACATACAAAAAGACTATCGTCTACTTTCCCCTCTATAGGAAGGCATTAATATTATTACTACAGCCAGTCCTTCTGCTTCTGTTAAATTTTGAATTCAACCATTATTAGAAGACAGAAATACTTCATACTTCAATCATATTTGGTATGATCAGGGCAATGACTGGAACAGCATACTTGCTTCACTGCAATCTTTGTAACATTTTAGTATTGTACATTTGTACTTTCTTAGCTGCGAAAAGCATCTACATGTAAAAGGCCATTCTGAATGCCTCTTGCCACTGTGTCAAATGAATCTTTGCACAAAACCATTCACGTCAAATTACATCTCACCTGTCTGTTCATTTTCATACAAATCAAGGTCACTTTCAGACAAACAATTTTCCACAAGGGCACATTTAGAAACAGAGGTACAGTATAAAGGGCTACTTAGAATTGGCCTATTGCAACATTTTTACATCAGCCTTATAAACACACAAGATCATTGCAAGGCAATTACATCATCTTTACATTCAAGTGAAATCAAAATGCCTATACTGTTTTGTACATGTTATATATATCCTATGATAACAATTATTATTACATCAGCTTTTGGAAAGCAAATCAATACTATTAATAATCACTTACTGGGAGTGCATCTTCAAGACTCTCCATATCGTACGGTTTCTTTTTCTTCTTTTTCTTTTTCTTCATTCCAGAAAAGTCATCAAGGTCCAAGATGTCTGTTGTAACAACCAAATTATACACTTATAGTTTATAATATGTTTACAGAGCATGGCAGATTATATTAACAAGATCTTGCAACTAAATTCACAAAAATTTACCGCCCACAAAAGAACTCAGTTCACAATGGGGTTCAGTTTGCCAGGAGGTACCAGACAATGGTATCTAAGCTAACTCTCCCGCATTATCCAGGAGTCTCCTGGATACAGACCTAATCTCCCGGTCTCCCATACGGGTCACCAAATCTCCCGGATTTGAAGGAACGCCCTTATTTTGTCTGATTTTTTGGAATATTTGACCCATTTTGTGGCTGAGTCAGAGGAGCTCTACTTTTAACAACGTTCTTTTAAGGTAGAGAAGGTAAAATTGGCAATCTCCTGGATTTCATTTTTGTTTAGGTTGGCATCCCGCAGTGGAGGGGGGATTATTAAGATGGAGCCTCTCTCCCACTGCACCCCAATGACACTTAATGCCCAAGCATTTCATGTTCTCTTTGCTCAGTTTTGGAAGAAAAACTAAAAATTTCTCAATCATACATGGCTGTATACAATGCATTTAGCAATGTTTAAAGCGAAAATTTGCATGCAGCCATGTTTCACCAGATAACTTGACACATGTCTTAGTCTTGTTGCGTGAGATTTACTACAAGTACCTATCTGCTTCCCGTTTACATACAGTAACTAAACGCAGAAGCATTGTAAGCTTAAAAAGTAAGCCCTATGCAAGCATTTAATATAAGCTTACGCATGTCCGCTACATGCCTATGTGTCGAAAACTCTCCTATGACTACGTGAAATTATGCCGGTCTCGTCTCCAATTTTGGGGCAACAAAGAGTGAATGAATGTGACAAACGTTTTGTCAGCGATCATCTTGACTACAAGTCAACTAGTTCAGCACTTCACACAACGCAATAATATTCCGAGTTCGTCGTCATCCTGATTACCTGTATCTTCTTTGTCTTCTTTTTCTTCTGTCGCTACATTGTCCTGATTCTCGTTTTCGGGAGGATTGTCGTTTTTCTCATCCACATTGGATGGAGCATTTGGCTCTTCAAGGGCATCAAGATCTAGGGGAACCTTCTTCTTTTTCTTCTTCTTTTTCATGGTAGGATCGAACATCTACGATTTTCAAGGTGAAATTACAAGACATCAAAAGGACCATAAGATCTACCTTTTCAATAGTAACTTAAAATATAACCAGAGTATACTTACCGCTTCATCCTCTGCCATTTTTATACCTAATAATAACGAAATAAACGCCTTTATATCAAAATATTACCAAGAATTTCTCTGAATTACAAGAATAATTTTCCACATGCAGTTGCGTCAGCCTGTCTGCGCATGAGCAAACGCTAGACTCGTTTCCAGTCCGCTGAATGACAGGCGAGTTTCACATGCACAGCCTTTGGCGCAAGATAAGCAGATATAAAAAATATCAAAATGCCTTCACGTTTAATTCCTCGAATTCTCATTTTTGTAAACAAAGAGAGAGCAACTCGAGCCTCGTGTTTCATCATTCATGTAATAGTAGTAATAATAGGTTGTGACAAAGAAAATGAATAATAATAATAATAATAATAATAATAATAATAATAATAATAATAATAATAATAATAATAATAAATCAAACCTTAAAAGAGTCCCCTAGAAGAAAACATGATTAACTAGTAGGTAATGTCAGGAAAATAAGACGAACTTAATCCCAGATGGACTCGAACAAATGTAGTATTTTCGGAGCTGATAAATAGTTTGGAAGACAGGCAACTTCCTGTTCAGAAGTTCTTTGCTGAAAGTATTAGGAAACTACCGTTTTTCTTCAGTGTAAAATGATAGTCCAGTGACAGAAATAGTGACTGTTTCGATGAAAACATTTTTTTCATGTTAATGTTTTTTCAAGGTTTTTAAAAACTTCGTTAGCATGCGCTTGGCTAGAAAGTTTGTTATTTGCGCCAGCTGCGCGTTCGAAGTTAGTTTCATTGATGCCGGCTTCGTTTTAATATCGCGAGTGTGTCGTACGAAGAGGAGAACGGCGAATTTACTGAAGGTCGTCTTGCTGCGTTTCTAAAATCCTGTTAATACATTCCGAAGACAACAAGTCCCTCATTGTTTCACATGAAAGACTTCAAGTAACATATCGTATTTCACTAAGCATCAATGCAGTATCTGACTCGTCTCCAGTCGTCTTTTGAGAGGTCTGAGTAAGCGACATCCGAGGAAGTCTGGATGAAACACCTCAGGGCAAGGAGTGAAAATCATGGGTAGGAAGGAAGAGACTATTTCCTTCCCCCCACCCCTCGGGCTCGCGCTTGCAACTCCCTCATTTGTATTCAATGACTCTTTGAGAGGACTGGGGACGAGTCAGGAGCGGGATAGCTTGCGCGAGCTTATCTTCCCTCGCGCTATTTTCTGATTAGCTGATTAGCCCTGACTAAAACATCATTTAGTACTACGAACTAGGGAACAAAATATTTGGAACTTCACTTATTTTGACAAATCAAGGAGCAACCCTTACTTTAAAATCAACTAAGCAACTCTAATGATCTAATTAATGATGACGCTCTCTCTTACCTTAATTACGAACTTTACGTCATAATAGAGAACAGCGCGCGTTATAAACTTAGTTTCAGAAAAGCTTGGTTTTTACGATGTAGTCTCTATGTCGGGATAGTTTTATGCGGCCTAAAAGACGATTGCCTCAGAAAGCTCGTTTAAAAAGACAAGCCATGGAGGATAGTTTTGTCTTTTCGGACGAGAAATACTCAAAAGATGTCTTAAAGAGATTAAGCGGGCTCCAAAAACAAGGCATCATGTGTGATGTAACGATTAAGATTGACGACCAGGAGTTTCACGCCCACAGGAATATACTTTCTGCCAGCTCGGACTACTTTTTCGCAATGTTCAACGGAAACATGAAAGAGCGAAACCAGCGCGAGATTACAATCACTGGCGTCGACAAAGACAGCATGAAAGTGATCATGGGTTTTATTTACACGGGCGAGATCATATTGGACTGGAATAACGTCGAACCGATTCTACAAGGTGCCAATCTGATGCTCGTGCAGTCTGTAAAAGACGCGTGCTCCCGTTTTCTTGAAAGCCGACTAAACGTCAAGAACTGCCTCGGCATTCAGAGCCTCGCGGAGACTTACGCGTGTCAAAAATTGTGGACGGTAACGAACAATTTCATCTTTCAAAATTTTCCCCACGTTGCCGAGAATGAAGAATTCCTGAATTTGGACGAGAAACAAATCCAGGTTTTGTTACAAAGTGATGAAATTTCAGTGGAAAACGAGGAAAAGGTCTACGAAGCGCTGGTTGGTTGGATCAACTACGATCGCGAAAACAGACGGGAGTTCTTTCCCGTTTTAATGGAGGATGTTCGTCTTCCACTTGTTTCGCCGTATTACCTAGTTGATGTAGTTGAAAATGAGGAACTCTTTAACTCCTCGCCAAGGTGTAAGGAACTCCTGCAAGAGGCGCAACATTATCACTTGTTACCAGATCGACGTCAGCTATTGGACAGCACGAGAACGAGGCCGCGAAATTATGAACGTTTTCACGAGATTCTCGTCGCAATGGGCGGCAATGGAGACTACCATAATCAAAGCACTGGTAAGAAAGATTGTCTCTCATACAACTCACGCGCGACAAAACAATTCAGATTTGCAGATGGTAAATGAAGCATTGTAACTCCAGTAAATTGCGTTCTTCATATTGATTGATTAAATACCGCAACGCTTGAATTTAATTCTCTCCTTCCAAGAGAGTCTCCAATCGATAAACGTCCCCGTTGTTCAAGGAAACGTTTTCCAATAAGTAGCCCTATTATAATTATCAAAATGCACCTCTTGTGACTTTAACGCTCAGATACCAAGTTAGTTAAGTTTAGTTTAATTTGAGAGCAGTTTGTGTTTTCTATGTTTGATAGTTTGGTTAGAGAGAAAAATATGAAAACCCTCACGAATAAATGTTCTTTTCTTCAATAAGCACTTCCCGTAGACTGCTTCTAAAATGTCATTACGTAGAACCAAATTCGGATGTTTTGTTTCTGTTCTGCATTGTGCCAGGACCTCACTGAGTACATATGGGTTCTTGCAAATTCACCCGGTGAAATGAATGCAAGATTGAATATTAAACAAGATTTAAATCACTGCAAAAATAAATGGGGGAAGCTTAGATAAAACTACGGAATGAAATTACAACAAATAAATGTGGTCAGAGATGGTGGCCTTAAATTTTCTGGAAGAGTCTATCGACAAGTAATCAAATGGAAGACTGTTCCAGTCAATAATAGTTCTTGTCTAAATAATATTGTCTGGAGTAGAAAGGACTGCATGTGCATACAATGAAATGTATTTTCCGCTTCTTCGTCTTTCAGTCTATGGCTTCAATGTAGTAACTCAGCTGTGGTCAGACTTGCCACGGTTTACAAAGGATCGTGGGTATCATGGGATCGCAAGCTTTGGCGGGCAACTTTACGTCACAGGAGGGTACTGCAATATCAATTCTGAGACACTCGACATAGGTAACAAAAAATGCTCTGTGAAAACTGACAAACATGGCAAACCATTATTTGTCCGCAGTAGAAGTTTGAAGAAAATCTATCGAGTAGAACATTTTCGCGCGAACGCCCTGAAGGGAGAAGAAATTTATAGTTTTAAATTTTTAAAATGACTTGAATATCAGAAGTCTTTGAACGGACAAGCGATTATAAGTCAAGGATAACACACCGTTAAATAAATTCGCGATCAGATCACGGAAAGTTTCGGTCAGTAATTTTCTAATTCACCACAGATTTTCAGTTTTTTCCAGTTTATATTTTTAGTTATTTCAAGTAGCGTTTAAAGTTTAAATTATATCCTCTTCAATAAAAAACGTTGCGTTGCTCGTTATTTCATTTGTTTTAGAAGTTTAAATTATTTTCTCTTGAATAAAAAAAAGTGATGTGTTAATATGTTTTTTTTCTCAGCCCAGCGTTATGATGTGCGGCAGAAGGAATGGCATAACATGCCCAACATGCTGACACGGAGAAGCAAACATGGATCTGTTGAGGTAGACGGTCATGTCTACATAGTCGGCGGCTATGACGGACAGAGCACGCTGAATTCCCTGGAATGCTACGGCTTTCAGTCCGCCAGGTAATTCAACAGTAAGCTTGCCATACCATCCCCATGGAAATTCAATTATTTCTAGCCTGCCCCCGGTCGCTGTTGATGTAGAGGCGCCGCCTCATGGTTAGTGCGCTCCCCCTGGCTGGGGACACTGTCAGTTGTTTTCTTGGGCAAGTTAACTCTCACAGTGCCTCTCACCACCCAGTTGTACAAATGGATACCGGCGAATTTAATGCTGGGGTACCCTTGCGATAGACTAGCGTTACATCCATACTCCTAGTCGCTTAATGCTACAGCATCCGGAATATAAGCTCTTGCGTTATGGGCCACTTGGTTCGTATGCAGACTTTACCCTTTACCGCCCGGTCATTGTTGAAAGCCCCCCATGACAATTTGCTGAAAAGAAAGTTTCACATATCGCGGGATTTTTATTGTTACTATGTCATGGAGTTAAAAAACATCGAAACATGTATTTTAAAGCCCGGCCTATTATCGTAAAGATGCCTACCCTTGCTGATTTACCAAAAAGGATCTGTGCCATTCGGTACCCAAGACTACAAATTTGTCAAAATCATTGTGTTTAAAGATCCTAAGAATTACGCCATATTTTTTTTACGAATCCTTAAGATGGCGTACGAAAGCTCCAATGCCAACCAGAAGAAGGTGCATCTGTGCAGTGGCTCATGGGAAGTCCATTTACGTCATTGGTGGCCATGATGGATCAAGTATTTTGAACACCGTGGAGTGCTATGATACTGCAAGGTAATAAGAAATGTTCAGAGGGTTTTTACTACAAGTGTTGGAAGACTAACGCTACCTAAATAACCGCATTTGGCCAATCAAAGCCAACGCAGATAGGCAATGAGCCAATCAGAGCTCACAACAAATTCAATAACTTGCACCAAGCGGGGGAAAATTAACGCGCGTTACTCAAATCACGCTCTGATTGGTTAAACACCTTTCAAGGCATTTTTAGCCATTCACAAAGCAGAGTTTAAAGAGCCCCGCTAAAATGTAAGATGTAAGATCAAAGTGTACTTGCCGGTCGTGGTAAACAAGGAACTACATTGCGAGAACATTCTTGACCATGTTTTTTGGGCGTTTAAACGAATTGAAGATTAAACAAAAAAAAATAAGTGTTTCTAGTTACTCCCTTGTTGGCCAGACCAGGAACATTTCAGGGCACAAATTAAAATGCTGCAATCACGAAATGTAAAGCGAACGATGCGAATTGAACGATGCGCGATCCAAAACAAGGGAACTGAGCGTAGTAGTTTTTGAGAGAAAAGTTTAAACTTTTAGTTGCTTCTTTTCGGAAGGAAACTTTGTATCCGCAAGAAACCTTGCGCAGTTGCGTGCAGCTGGAAAACCAGAAAACACTTAAGTAAACACTGAAATTCATTCAATTTTCAAAACTGTGTTTTGGCGTTTCATTTTTCATTACATTTACTTTAAACTCAACAGGGACACTTGGAATTCAACTGAGGTCCAACCCATGCGCGACAGACGGTCGTTCCCAAGTGCAGTTGTTACAGACGACGAAATGTACGTCCTGGGTGGCTACGATGGAAACGACACGCTCAGATCTGTGGAGTGTTACAGCTTTACCACACTCGAGTGGACCCAGGTCCCTCCCATGGGCACGCCCAGGTCCAACGCTGGCGCATGCGTATTCAATAGCAAAATCTACCTCGTCGGGGGATGGGACGGGATCAGTTTGAATTCTGTGGAGTGCTTTGACGTGGGTACTCGCGTATGGCAGCGCATGCCTTCCCTTCCACGTCCGACAACTGGTGTACGGTGCTGTTTTTTATCCTTCCAGTCTACGAACGAACAAAAGCCCAAGAGCAGGGGCAGTCGCGGCCATATGTGCATTATATGCTGATGGGTGTGGCACTGTATCTTACTCTCAAAGTTATCATGAACTAAACCGTTCTTTTAAGCTGTGGTATTTATTACACGCGTTCGTTCGTAGACTGAAGAATTGTCTGTCTTTTCTCGTAAACAAAGTTAAGTTAGCGTTTTGTCCTCGTTAAGCTGGCAACAACAGACACAATCGAATTGTTATCGCTACAAGGAAACCTGGGCAGCTCTTGCATTTTTAACACTGTGTTTATTGTGATTGTGGCGAACAATAAGGTACAGACAGAAATCTGGTCAAACTTCAACTAATAAAAGGAATACTCACTTACTTTTTAATTTTATCGAGATATTTTGCTATAAACTCCCCTTTTTTTTTCTTATAACACTAGGTGCACCCTAACTCTTTGTACTCTGGGCGGCAAGGACCTCAGGGTGTAGTCTCCCTACATAGATCTTTGTAGAGTCTTCCCCCCTCAACCCAATCCTCTCCCTTATGAATACGATAGTAAAGCTAGAAGCGCAAACAAGATAGAAAAGACGAGTTTCCTTGCCTAGCCAACCAAAAACGTTTCTCGGCGTCACTAGCAATTCCAATTGAAAAGGTTACGAAAGTTTCTTCGGAGTTTCGTCGTGAGTTAACTCGAAAATTTACAATTTAGTTTAGTCTAGTCCAGTTCGAGAAAATCATTCATGTTGGAACCATCCGGGAAATCACGACACTGTGACTGTGGACGGCCCTCGCCAACGGTTTTATTTAATAACAATGAAGCGTCCTCTGTGTTCACTGTGCTGGCGCTGTTGGCCTGGGCGCCACCTTGAGAATTACTAGCCTTATTTTCACTCGTGAAGGTTTCAACTTGTTCTCTCGCCCTGCTGCTATCATTTTCAGTTGTCTGGGGTTTATCTTCAGAGCTCGAAGCGCAATCGATTTTGTGTTCATTGCTAGCTGCCAGTCCTTCAGTTCCATTATTAGAGAGTTCCTTTTCCGAGGTCTCCTCTTTGCAATCTGTTGATGCAGGCGCCTTGTTTGGATTACATGAAGCTATACGTGCCTTGGATTCTTTTGGACGAGACTGGCTCGTTCCTGAAAGAGAAGCAGCTTTGGGTCCTGCTGGTACGTTTTTCGATCGCACACGAGAACCCTCCACAGTAAGGGGCTTTTCTCTGGTGAATCTCTTGTCATTGTCACTTAGTAAAGCAGGTCTGGATTTTGATGGGGCCTTTTTAATAACCCCGTAAGAGTTTGAAGCAGATGAAGGTTGTCCGGTAGAATTCTCTTGAGTTGATATAGACCTGGTTTTCTTGTTAGATGTTGCTGGTTGAAATTTACCCGCACCTTGACAAGAACTTCGAGTGGAAGGTTCATTTGACTTTGATGATAATACCTTTCCACGCCCCGGTGCGGAAGAAGTCGGAGCAGACAATCTTGAACTTCCTGGAGTTCCGGTCCCCCAAGTTGTCAAAGGTCTTTTTTCAGCAGCACCCTTTGATGCCGACGGCATTTTCCCACGACCCACGATCGCGCTTCCTTGGGTAGACAAGGGCCGCGCCGAAGTGGGCCGCTTATTCGTTGGCGGAGGACCAGTCCTCCCTTGGAAGCCCCCGGTCGAGGAAGGTCTTTCATGTTGAGAGCTTCTGTTTAGCTGTCCATCAACTGTAGCATTTCCTCTTCCGAGTCCTCTTGAGCGAGATTCGGTTTCAGCACGTTGCAAAGTGCTTCTTGTTGGAGGTCTGCGAGAAGTCTTCACGACAGAATCAAAAAACAAAGATAAAACAAGATGACAAATTAATTTAGGTTAAAATATAAATTATACTTCTACACATCGAAAATGTTGAAATGAATGCCACAAAAATATACCCAAGTAAGAATAAAACCAACCCCAGTGGCGTCAAGCCGTGTAATAAACTAATTTGAACGAGAAGAATAAACACGTGACAAGTCGACAAACGCGAGAAAAGCTACCAAAGCCAGATCACGTGTGCTTTGGTTTTTGCACCTGATTGGCTAACAAGACAATATCTTCATTTTGATCGGTTGGAGACCTTTATACTTCAACGAGTTTTACAAACCATTCAAAAAGACTCCGCAAACTTTCGCCAATCCTATTTACAGTATTCAAATCATCACTCACTACGTCTTTTTTTTTTACTTTTAATAAAGCTCACCTGCGCTGAAGGTGGTGCACTCCTCTGTCTTGTGTTGCTACGATCCCCTGAATCCCCGAAACCACTAAACACGGCGCCTATCAGATTAAAACAAAATTTCTCCAGTTACCTGAATCAGTTAAACTGTGAACGAGCAGTTATTAGCAACAACTGATAAACTTTAGATAGAATTGCTTCTAAGCCTTTGGGAGGATTAAGTCAGCGTCGGGCCAAGTGGTTCATACAGCCGGAGCTTCCCCCGATTTTAAGCGACTAGGAGTATTAGTACTCCCCCCTGGATGGGATGCTAGCCCATCGCAAGGTTACCCCCATTATTAAATTCGCCGCCTGGGTGGAGAGAGGCACCTTCCGTGTGTAAGTTTACCGTTGCATCCCTGGTGAATTTCTTAAGATGCATCAATTTTTAAAGTTACAAAGATATCAAAATCCCAGACAAGCATGTTTTGATATTACCTTCCTTTATTTCTCGCTGTGTAACATACTTTAGTCTTTTCCATCCCTCTGATCGAGTAACCTTAAAAAGGTTTGATCTTGCGAACTTGACACAGTCATTGTGTAAATGGACCACAAGATCAACAACTTCCTGAGAGAGATTAATCAAACAAACCCGTCCAACACTAGGCAAATACAATGAGCTGCATTGTAGCAAACAGCTTCACTTCAACTGGAAAGAGAAATTTGCACCAGACACTCAACTTTGGAAACTTTTGTTCTGTCAAACGCTTTTGCTAAGAGACAAAATCGTACAGAAAAGGTTCATTTTGCAATAAATAGTTGGTAACTTTTGTTCTGTCAAACGTTTTTGCTAAGAGACGAATTCGTACAAAAAATGTTCATTTTGGGGGAGATCTTTGGCAACTTAAGTTCTGTCAAACGTTTTTGCTAAGAGACGAATTCGTACAGAAGATGTTCATTTTGCAATAAATCTTACAAGTTTTTTCACCGAGTTTATCCTGGACNCTGTGTAACATACTTTAGTCTTTTCCATCCCTCTGATCGAGTAACCTTAAACAGGTTTGATCTTGCGAACTTGACACAGTCATTGTGTAAATGGACCACAAGATCAACAACTTCCTGGGAGAGATTAATCAAACAAACCTGTCCAACACTAGGCGAATACAATGAGCTGCATTGTAGCAAACAGCTTCACTTCAACTGGAAAGAGAAATTTGCACCAGAAACTCAACTTTGGAAACTTTTGTTCTGTCAAACGCTTTTGCTAAGAGACAAAATCGTACAGAAAAGGTTCATTTTGTAATAAACAGTTGGTAACTTTTGTTCTGTCAAACGTTTTTGCTAAGAGACGAATTCGTACAAAAAATGTTCATTTTGGGGGAGATCTTTGGCAACTTAAGTTCTGTCAAACGTTTTTGCTAAGAGACGAATTCGTACAGAAGATGTTCATTTTGCAATAAATCTTACAAGTTTTTTCACCGAGTTTATCCTGGACAAAACTAGCGACTAAATAAACAGTAAAAATCATTTGGCGCGAAAATGTGCTCGGATATTTGTCTTCGGACATTATCTGTTCCGAGAAGCGAACAGTTTTCCGAGAGCAAGGACAAATATCCGAGCATATTTTCGTACCAAATGTGTTTATAATCCTTGAAATATTTTTTGTAACTCGCGCCGTTTTGAAAACTGGGGAATCTCTCTCTCGGATATTCCCAGTTTTAGCTGGGGCATTTAGCCACGTGACGCGTTTAGACCAATCTTGCGCGAGCGAAATTATTTGATGGTTTATAATTGGCCGTATGAGAATAATTCAGATGTCATTAGGTATACACTGGGCCGCTGAGAAAGTGTTCTTACCTCCGGATAGCACTCTTCACCCTCCTCTTGGGTCTTCAGTTTAATGATCCTTTTTAACATGAGAATGGCCCTGAGCTGGTCACAACAGTTTTCAATCGTCAAGTTCCTCTTCACTGCAGCAAGAATTTTCTCCAGAACAGGCACCGACCAGCCTACCCCCTGGACCGCAGGAAAAAACAAAAAAAAAACCAAAATAAACTGAGTGCCTTACACTGACAATATACCTCCTAAAAAGGGTCAACATAGCGTCAGCTTTGAGAGCTCCTCCGACATTGCTTAGCCCAACAGACCCACACGGTACTAAAGCTAGAAATACCAGGGAAAATATGGTTCAGTACAAGGAATATGAAAAATGAAAATTCCTTCATCGCTGATTTTGCTAATAATAACTGAAATGGTGGGTATGACAAAGATATTATACGAAATGAAAGACAGTTAGGGTTAGGAAGTCGGAAGTTGGCCGTTCGGTCGGTCGGTCGGTCAGTCACAGGGCTCGAAAATAGTGCCGTCCGGCTGTCCGAGACAACTAGAAGATTCTCCTTCTGGGCAAGTACCTTTTCATTCTCACCTGCCTAACGGGCAAGGGATCAGATAAGTCGTCTGCCAACTAAATCATTAAAAAAGCAAAAGTGACTTGTTCCAAGGGCAAGCTGGAATTCACATTTTTTCCGAGCCCTGCAGTCAGCCTGTTGGTTTGTCAGTCATAAGCAGATAATACCTGTGACATTTATTACCTTGAGGATCTCATGAAAACTCCTTTCATCTATCATGGAGAAAAAATTGTTGCTGACAAACAACAAACAGGATTCCTGGACTGTGGAGACCGCCACGTGAACAGGCTCAGTCCACTTGACCAGCGGTGTACATGAGGACAGCTTGTCACAGTGATTTAAGACTTCTATAGCCGACGATATGACCTGCCATAAGGTAATCATAACTAGTTCATACATACGCGAAGCGTGCAAAGACGTGTTACTTGAACGTAACAAGCTGCATGCATCAACCCCTCTGCTGACAATGCCTGGCTATAATTCTTGGTAAAATTAATAATTGAATTTGATACAAGCTAGGAGGGCTAGCGGACTCTGCTTTCTGTGATATGAAATAACTATGGAAACAGCTTAGACTACGAGTAGTCCCTCTTCTGCTTAGTCCGTCGTGCGTGATGCGAAAGAACACAGTAAGAAAAAAAAACTGCCGCGCGAAATTCTGAGGGCGAAAAGCGCAGGAAAGGAGGAAAGTCCTTCCTTCTCGCTCGCAGGATGCCGACCGACAATTTTTTTCTTGCGGTTTTCTTTTGCATCACGCACAACGGATTAGAGCAAAAAAGGGACTACTTGTAGTCAAAAATTCATTGCAAGTACTAAGCAATTATTTGAAAAATACAAATTTTCCCACCACGGGTATGCATCATACAACAAATTAATCACTTACAAAACTACCCTGAATTTCTGCCAGGACTTCTTCCTGAAGCTTCTTTGGAAGAGTGGCAAATCCCTTGCTACCCAGAACACGATCAAAGTGTTTTGCTATCCATCTGCAAAAGTATGTTTCGTGTAAAAGTCAAAAGAAGGTGGTGGCGCTACTGATGAATAAAACACTATCAAGTGGATAAGTCTTAAGCGTAACAAAATCAGCTACATGTAAGCTTACCAGTACATAGTGATCATCCTCAGTAATCTATAGATAGCATTATCCGTCTTTTGATCAACCGAACCAGCTCAGCAGACATTAGAGTGTTTTGTTACATATGAATGATACAGCAACCTACTTGATACAGGATTTCCTAAGGTCAGCAAGACCAAACAGCTCAGAAACTTCTAAACATTCAGGAACACCGGCTAAACATTCAGCACAGGGCTGGAAAATAAAAACAGCAACTGGAATGGTAAACTTAACAAAAAGCTTAATTAACAAATTCAATTTGGAAAACATTAAGCTTGTCTCTGGAATAGATGTCTTGCAATGTGAATGTCTTGTATCTACTAATGTAAGTCAAACTGTGCCACATGAATTCACATCACCGGCCTTTATCTGGCGACCAGTGGAGAAGTTTGTGTGTAGATAGTACATTGTGTAATGTTCAGAGATATAATGTACTTACAGAATGAATAGAGAATTGCAGCTAACATCATGGCATGTTTTGTAAAACGTTTCATTTTCACTTTTAACTTTCACNCGGTTTTCTTTTGCATCACGCACAACGGATTAGAGCAAAAAAGGGACTACTTGTAGTCAAAAATTCATTGCAAGTACTAAGCAATTATTTGAAAAATACAAATTTTCCCACCACGGGTATGCATCATACAACAAATTAATCACTTACAAAACTACCCTGAATTTCTGCCAGGACTTCTTCCTGAAGCTTCTTTGGAAGAGTGGCAAATCCCTTGCTACCCAGAACACGATCAAAGTGTTTTGCTATCCATCTGCAAAAGTATGTTTCGTGTAAAAGTCAAAAGAAGGTGGTGGCGCTACTGATGAATAAAACACTATCAAGTGGATAAGTCTTAAGCGTAACAAAATCAGCTACATGTAAGCTTACCACTACATAGTGATCAACCTCAGTAATCTATAGATAGCATTATCCGTCTTTTGATCAACCAAACCAGCTCAGCAGACATTAGAGTGCTTTGTTACATATGAATGATACAGCTACCTACTTGATACAGGATTTCCTAAGGTCAGCAAGACCAAATAGCTCAGAAACTTCTAAACATTCAGGAACACCAGCTAAACATTCAGCGCAGGGCTGAAAAATAAAAACAGCAACTGGAATGGTAAACTTAACAAAACGCTGAATTAACAAATTCAATTTGGAAAACATTAAGCTTGTCTCTGGAATAGATGTCTTGCAATGTGACCGTCTTGTATCTGCTAATGTAAGTCAAACTGTGCCACATGAATTCACATCACTGGCCTTAATCTGGCGACCAGTGGAGAAGTTTGTGTGTAGATAGTACACTGTGTAATGTTCAGAGATATAATGTACTTACAGAATGAATAGAGAATTGCAGCTAACATCATGGCATGTTTTGTAAAACTTTTCATTTTCACTTTTAACTTTCACACTGAGTGCTTATTTTCACATTTATTTAACACGTCACCTTATGAAACATGTGGCACTTGTCAATTTTTAAAGCGCAGATTATGATCTCTCTCAGTCCTTCAAGGCCATACATGTCCACAAGTGGTAATGTGTCACTACAAATTAAAAGAATAAAACAAATGTATTTATAAATCCGTAAGCATACATTTGCCTAGTTCCTGTATGGCTTCCTACCAGGTCTTCAAGGTCAATTGATTTTAGTGGCATATCCGAGATGAATGGCCCAGAATACACCTTTCATCTTCAGGACCAGGTGACCCGAAAACGATTGACTGAGGCGAAATATTGAGGCAAAGCAATAACCTCATAACCCAATGATTCAGATTCATGACGTGAGTAATATTAACTTCCCTTCATAGGACAAATTCAGTTTCATTGGCAACATTACAAACAGCTGATTCATGCTTTTACATGTAGCTACGCATCATCGAGTTATGATGCACTTACAAACTTCCAGTGTGCATCATAACTCAATGTTAAATGTACAGTAAAGCTGGAATCAAATGAATATTGTTAACTGTCAGTGATACTAAAATAATCACTAGATTTGCAAACTAGAAAAATTATAGAACATAATGACTGTCTAATATCATATGCCTGTAAAATTGCAGCAGTTTCTCAGAGATACTGTAGACCCTATTTATAAATGGTTGCCAATAAATTTTGTAGGTATTAAAATTAGCCCGACTAAAGTTTTTGAGTTGATAATTCAAAAACAGTTTTTACTCTCAAAAATTAGTAGTTATTAGTGAGGCTAATTTAAATGCATACAAAAGAATTTTAATTTGGCAGCCATTTATGAGTAGGTCTGTAAGTCTTTTCCACTGGAAAAGCAGTTTTCATTATTATTTTTTTACTTACCAAATGAGTGATGAATCACTCTTCACCTGAGTTATTCCTCCATACAAATACTTCAAAATGGTCATGAATCCATTATAATTGACCCTTTAATAAACAGATGATTGAAGCAGTTAGCAAGGATGTAGTAACCTATCCATTCACCACACTGTTTTTTCTTTTGTTATACCCCCTTACTTCCAGCCTCCAGCCACATCTCTCAAAGGCTTTGAGATGAAAGGAGCCCCAGGAACTTAATAGGATAAGAGCATCCTTCTACTCCTTAGCTGACACAATCTCTGCTGGTTGTTTGGACAGGGTGGGGGTTTGCTAGGGGGGAGTGGTTACACAAGATCCTACTAGGAACAGGTTATACAGGATTAACCATTTAAAAGCAATGGTCTGGTCAAACTACACATTTCTGCATGTCAGTTAACTGTGGAGTGGCAGCTACAGACAACTGTGTTGTCCTAGTTGGGACTCATAAGCATGGCATAAAAAAGGCCCATCAGGCCAGAGCTTATCTCGCTTTCTGCAGCATGAAGTGACTACGAATATTTCTACTCCCCTCTGTATGGGATGCTAGTCCATCGCAGGGCTACCCCCAGCATTAAGTTTGCCGGTACCCATTTATACACCTGCGTAGAGAGAGGCACTGTGAGAGTAAAGTGTCTTGCCCAAGAGCACAACACAATGTCCCTGGCCAGTGCTCAAACCCGGACCACTCGATCTGGAGATGAACGCACTAATGATGACGACACCGCTCTTCCCACATAAGCATGGCATGGCCACATGTACAAGGCAGGTTCTAGGATCTGTAAGGAGGTCTTTACACCTCCAGGACTATGTCATGCAGTCCAGCATTGAAGTATTCTGATTGGCTGATCAGCTATCTTAACCATGTCATAATTTGCTAATTAGAGCAGACTCACCCAATTAGAGGTATCTCATTAGTTTTTCCCTCAATCCAGTCACCATACAACATGGCTGAGAAGTAATTGGATCGTGCGCACAGAATGGCTCTGGAATTTATAACATCAAAGTCAGCAAACTATTAATAATAAGCCTTGTATTAGTCAAAAGAAAATCAATAGTGATTAGCAAACATTTACTTATGGGCTTTAACTTTGCCACCATTGACCAAAAATATGACATCATATCCAACCCCACTGGTAAATAACCGGAGTAAATCTTGACCAAGTTTACAGCAGCAACTCTAAGAATTAAACAACAAAAAAAATACTTAAACAGTATTTGGTATTTGAATTTATATTAGTTGTCTGAAAAAGCAAAAATTCAGTTACGTGGGGAATTTTAATGGAAAAACATTGGCTATATCTATGAGTTATTGACAAAGTGTGAGGTCAAGATGGCTGGAAATTGGCCAAGTTCTTTTTTTTTTTTGCATGTTTATGGGCCGAGACGGAGTGGAGGTCCACAAACGCACAAAAAAAGAACGAGGCCAATATCCAGCCATCTTGACTGAACAAGCTTGGTCAATAAGGGATCTATTATATGGTTTTCGGGGAAATGTTTTGTCGGACACGGAAGGCAGTCCCTTGTGGGCAAGATAGCTCCATTTTGCCCGCTTGGATAGCCAATCACAGCACAGGATTTGATTCATCTTGCCCGCTCACAGAGCTAACCGTATAATGACTTAATTTCAGACATTTTTCTAAACCACAACTAAAACAAAATCTAATTACATGTAAAACATTTTCTACTCCAGGGTTAAAGCAAAAGCACTTGTTAAGATGCCAATGAACAAATTTTTGTTTAATATTCTAGTGAGAACAGTTATGTAACAATTTGAAAAATATAATGTGAAATGTTAGTCAACAAAAGGTACATTATTTTTAAAATGAAACTCATTGTTAGTTTTCTGATGGGTATAATTAAGCTTCTTCAGTTGAGAAGTAACCAACTCCACCAGTAGTAGGCTCAATGTATTTCAAACACAACAGAATAGTTTTGATCTTGGGGAACATTCATGCCCTAGCCATGGAATTTTAAGGACAAATAGTCCTAGGGGAAGAATGTTGCAAGTTCGCAAGTTCACACACTGGCTCAAACCCTGCTTAACTCCAGACCTCACCTCTAATTCATTCTCTGATGGCTTGTCAGCTGCTCCTTGATCCACTGTTAGATCAAAATCTGAAGTAAAGTGATTTGACTGAAAGCTTAAAAATTGATCATGATTGTACATAAAGGGACTCAGTGACAAAAAGAAATTAAAAACTTCAGCCCTCTCGCCTGATTTTGACAATACAGTGCACACTTGTGTATGAAATTACAAACTACTCTATCAATAACACTGTCATATTAGATAAATTTACAGGGCAGCACAAGTAGTAACATTCATTTTGTGCAGTTAGTTTTAATTAACTACACCCAGCAGATCAAGCTCTGATTTCACCTGTTAATGCTACTCAACAGTAACTGGTATTATAATAATAGTATTAATACATAATTATATGGCTTGAGTTTGTAGCCCAAATATATAATGCACACTTTGATCAGCTAATTCTAGGGCACTAAAGTCTATTCTCCTGTAATGCTCATGGGCTGATTACGGGCCTGCGAGAACAAAGTAAAAGCTTTATAATAAACAACTTATTAAACTCAAATGTTTGGTCTCTACAGGAAAATCTCAAACCTTGGCTTTGCTGTATTGAGCAAGCGTAAGCAGGTCAACATGACAAAATCTCAGTTTGAGATTTTCCTGTAAAAACTGAACATTCAAGGTTAATAAGTAGTTGTTGTTTCCTGCCAAATCCTCAATGTGGCTACAGCTACAGATGTAGATTAAGTGAGTTGACAGCAGGGATGCCAACAAAACACTCCATGTGATAAAATGACATCAAACACATGGAACTACTACTAAAATTTTAAATCCAATGGGCAGAAAATGAGTTTGATCATTCTACAACTTCAGTCCATACCAGTCCAGAGAATTGGAATTACCTTGCTTTGGTCTGAAATTGTTTCCAACAATTTTGGCATCAGTGGAAGTCAATTTGTAAGTTACGTCCTCCTCTACTCCTTCAGCTTGACAATTAAAAAGACGTCTTGAAAGTGGTGTGCATGTATCATATCCCCCTTGAGGACAGACAGACCCAGTTCCTTCTTCAAGAACCCCAGTATGGAGACCATTAACTAAATCAATATTATTCTGATCTGCCTGGTCTTGGGGTCGATGGGTCACATTTTCTTGAGTGGTATTGCTAATGGTAACAACATGAGGGTGACTTGATTCCTGACCAGCAAGTTCTGCGTTATTTGCCACACCATCACATAAACAGCAAGGAGACACACTCTGTGTTTCAAAATCCTCGTCACTATTCTGCTGAGAATCAGTCCTTTCACCATTTCCTAACATATCAATGGTATCTGTGACAGCAATTTTTGAATCTTTACTCTTCACATCACCACACTGTGATTGGGTGCATTTAACATCACCTCCACAAGATTCCATTGCATTGAATGTGGTTGTTGTTGTCCCACAACCATCTACAGCACAACAAGGCTGGATAATATTATCACTTCCATCTACATCTACATCATTCTGAAAGCTTGCATTGTCTGCTTTTAATTCAGTCTCGCAAACAACATGATTGATTTCATCTGCCAGACATGGAGTTTTCTGCCTACTCCATGGATGGCTTGACTCATTGTAATCTTTGAAATCATCTTCAGTGTAGGCAGACCTTTCCGAAAACAGCAGAAAATGATTTGTTGATTATTATAATTATAAATTTGGATGGATCTAAAGAACATTTGCTGTATTGTACATTAACAATGTGACAAAAAATACGTCATTTTTAGGATACATGTGCTGACTAAGTTACTCTCAAAATGAAGGTGGACACCTAGAAATAACCTTCTTCTAAAGAAGAAAAACACCAGTGGAAAGAAGAAATAAAAACTTAACAAGGGTGGATACGACTAAGGTTGATTTGGTCTAACTATGAGTGACAAATGTACAAATTTAAACAAAATTATTGCATAACATACCACCTGGACCTCAATTTAAACAAGTTAGGTGACTGTTTCAAATAGCTACGGAACAGGTAATTCTGTTTATTTTGGATAATTATGAGCCCTATACATCAAATTGGCATGGTAACAGCCTTTGATGGGTCAAGTCACAGCCACATATTATTAAAACAAAGATGAAAATAAACAGCATTTCCGTACAAATTGAGATCAACTTGAAAAAGTCAGGCCGCCATTTTTTAAGTTTGCTCAAAAAAATATCTGTTTCAGTCTTATCCAATTTCTCCCATCCATTCCCTTTATGGGTTTCCTGTATTTCTCTCGAGTTCCCCTACAGTTTTAAGCTGTTAATGTGATATTTCAGATAATTCTGTGACCAGTTTATCATTGCTTAAAATTGCCTGACCCAGCCCCATTAAGGACAGTGTGTAAGAATAAGAAATTTAAGTTCATTTATTTTTTAACTACATTAATAAAACAGTCCTAGGAAAAAATGCATGCTGATTGGTTTAAAATTGTGTTTCTATAACTCAATAGAAACACAGAACTAGCACAAGCTGTTGGCGTAATAATGCACAAGCAAAGAAAATGTACATTTTGATAATCAAAGTTAACAAGTTGTTTTTCTTTTTTTCATCTCTGTGTTTTCTCAAAGATATAGAAAACATGTTCTCCGTGTTTCTATTGAGTTATAGAAATACTTGTGAAAGTTTGGGAGAACTCAAAAAAGCTGTGGAAACAAATTTTCCCTCATGTTTCTATAACTTGATAGAAACACAGTACATGTTTTCTATTTCTTAAGTATTAAGTTTAATTAACCTGATTTACAGGAGGTTTTGATCATGATGGCAATAGTATGGCTTAGCATAAACCAAGACTGCTGAAATTATAAGAAGATATAAGACATATCTGTACAGTCTCAATCTGAAGTGAAATATTTACAAATTTTAAACCAGCAGAAAAGGGAGCAAGTATAAGATGAATCAGTGTGCAAAGTTGTAAATAGCTCATGTTCTTACTGGTATTTGTAAATATTTTTCTTTATTACTTTACATTAAAGATGATTTCCAGGGTGTTCAGACTGTGCAGTATGGACTGAAAATCAACTTGAAGCAGCAAAATATTTATTAGGTTATATACAGTAATTGAAAATTTTGAATACCTTAGAAATGTCTCAAACTCAGTAGCTTCTAATCCATTTATTTGGATACATGTTTGGACAGAAACAGGTGAGGAATGTCTTGGAAGAAAATGCCAACAAAAATTCGGTGCTCTGGCTCTCAGTAAAACTGTGTGAGCTTGAAATTCTGAATTACATACTGTAAATGATACATCACTGAAGGTGGTGTCTCCATAGAGCCTAAAATTCAAAGCAAGACAAGTTGTCACATTAATATTTACAAAGTCAACTTGTGTTTAAGTCAGATTCAAATACTGATCATTGGTTTATACCAGCGTCTTCCTCCCAGACGTCACTGATCGGTCTGTCAGTTTTAAATAAAGCTTTTATTATTATTATTATCATTCTTCTTCTTCTTATTATTATTGTTATTAAAACCCTTCGCCGTGACTTGAATTATTTATATCGGGACAAAGAAAATGGTCTACCTCTGCATCTTCAAAGAATGAGTTTGCCCAACGCTCCCTAAAAATTATAAAGGTAAGCTTAGAGGTTTCTTCAAATTCATTCATCAGAAGATTTCCTCCTGTCGGTATATTAAATCTGTTAATTGACAGAGATCATTTCACAACTTACAAACTTACTATGATGCAAGTTGTTGTTTGTACACTTAGTTTTTCATGCACTCTTTTTTCGTAGATAAATCACTCAGTAGGTCAGATTCAATAGAGAGATGGACTGTAAGACCTTTTGGAATACTTCTCAGCAGACAAAGGTAGCAAGCTGTATCTTAAATTGCGTCAATAAAGAATACTTTGCATTTCGATTTGACACTGAAAATCGACAACTTAGTTTGAACATTAAATTTGCATCACCTGGATAAATCCGCTAACAAATCTTGCTTGGACGCTTGACGCAACTTTTCCCTTACATTCTCTTCTCGTTCTTTAAAAGCTTTGCTCTTTAAAAACGATGCAGAGGTCATATTTTTAAATATGGCTTCTTAAAAGAAGCAAAAAATGCATAGCTAATTCAGCGAAATAGCTCAGTGTGCTGTTTTTTGCCAGGCGTTCCTCCTCTTTTGCTCCGCGATAACATCTCGGCCAAGTCTCTCTCGGTCGTGGAACACCTGCTCGCTTCCACGCGTAACGATATATTTTTGTTGCTTTCGCCTGAAATTTGAGCTTCTATAATTCTACAGCTTTTGTAGTGTGTAGAGCCGATGTTGAGCCGTGCTTTTGCCCTCGAAAACAAAATTTCTGTGGCACCGTGAGAGGTAAGACTTCGACTAATTTCCGACATGTTGATTGTGTATTGCGATTTCGGCAAATAGAACATTTTAAAAATAGTTAATTGGACATGTATGTAGTTTGTAGATCGAGACTCGAAATGTTGGATGCATAAATTAGTTTTTCGTTTTCTTCGGGAAAATTGTCGATCTAGGCAAACAAAGCGGTAGAAAGCGAAATAATCTTGTTGGATGTATAGCATACACACACATTTGCTCTTGACGCATAGCCAAATTAGAGATCTTTAAAATGTTGCTTAATTAAAATTTGATGTGGAAGAGAATTAAAAGCTGGGTGCTGTGTTTTGACGTTAGACCGCGGCCAAGCCATCAGTATTGACCACGTCCAAAACCTAGCGAAAATGATTTTTTTTTCTCATGGAAAAACTGATTTGAGCTTGCACTTCTTTGGGTTCTATAAGTAGATCAGTCAATAAACGAAAGTGGCAGAATTCGTGAGATCTCGTGTGCATCGCGTGCAGCACGATCCGGGACCTACCACGTGCGTGACCCCGTGGCAGACGAAAGGTGTGCTTTTTCAAAACTGAAGAGAAAAAGAAATTAGGCTGAGTCCACACTACGCCGGAGGAATTTGAAACAGACTTTTCACTCTGAAAACGCATAAAATGTTTTCCGTCTACGCTACGCCGGAGAAATTTAAAAAACGCGACAATCACCGGTCAGTCTGAATTTGAGTATAAACTCGGGCAGGAAAATTGATCATTGCCACCTCATCGTTTTCGAAAAGCTTCGTTTTCAAAATGTTTTCTGTCTCGACTAAAGCGCAAAGTCGGCGTTTTCAAATTCCTCCGGTTTGAAGAGAGTTTCCGAAAAGCTCCGTTTTCGTGACGGATTAGTGTGGACGATAGGCCTAACTGTAGAAATAAAGCTATGTTTTCAAATTCCTCCGGCGTAATGTGGACGGGGCTTTAGTTTTGATATGAAAGAAAAGTTCTTGGTTTCTAGTACCCAGGGCAATTACTCTTTAGAGAACCAAATCTGAACATATTTCCAAGGGGGTCATCCCTTGAACCCNAAATTAACCGGCGATACCAGAGTAAAGAGCTTCATAACGTTTATTCGCAAGTCAGAAGAAATGCAAAAGATCACGCGTACAACTAGCGCAAGCAGATCTTACAGTGCGAAATACGAACTCCTGTTTTCCGGCAACCTGAAAAACTCACCTTTTCCCATTGTCTCAGAACAAAAATGCACCTTCCTTCTTCATATAGAAGGGAGTTTCGTGGAATTTCTTCAGAAATCTAAGTTCCAGTGTAAGTAAGCGGAATCTGCTCGTTTTAGTAGACCCCAGTCTACTGCATCACACCTTTTTGCTCGGACCCGCTCGTTTCACCGCCCTTCATATAAGCGCCCTGGCCGAAGTATAGCGCGCTTTCGCCTTGCGCTCCTGCAGGAGTATGCCATGTCGTCTTGTCATGGCCAGCTCGCGGAGCTATGGCATACTCGGCGGTCACGTGATATCTAACAATTGGAACAATGAAACTGTTTCTCGGCAAAAGTCTCTGAACATACAACAGCACAAACAGGAGCGCAAGCAACATTTTAAAATCTTTATTGGGATATATAGTAGGGCACTGTTGCCATCAAAATATGACCTAGTGCTGATTTCTTTTGTTACATTGTGCTGTGTATCAAGTCACTTCATGACTGCATGGTCCCTCGGAAAACTAAGACATTTTGTTTCCGGTCTCGGGTCTGGGAGCCAAGGAAACTCCATCAAGAATCTTGGGACACAAAATTAACTGTGCCCTAGGGAAGAGCCATTAAGTGTCACCTTTAAACCTGAGAGGGGGGGGGGGGGCTGGAACTGTTTTGAACTTCTGTAACTTCGTCATTTCGCTGGATTTTGTCAACTCTGAACATGCTGAATGCTACATGTTGTTATAAAGGAATTTTTAAGTTCAGCACAGACCTAAAGTACACGCAAACTTAAACCTATCTCAGTGTTGAAACTGTGACTGGCACGTATCGAGACTACACTTTTACTGAACTCTTTTGCGCATGCCTGTCGCTCAGATTCAAAACTATAGCAGGGCTAATGGCAATGAAAATCAGTGAATTTCAAGACCAGGCTTGAAACTCAAAAAACTGATCGTTTGGATGACTGTGAAAATGCCATGTAATTTCATTAGAGAAGATTGCTTCGAGAATCGTGAAGAAAGTCTGTACTTAGAGGTTTTCATTCTTGTCGTCAGATCTTTCGTTTCTTTTGATCACGTGGTCTGCGAAACGACATTTTAAAACGAGGAGCACTGGGGAAGAGAATGAGAGGTCTTCTGAAAGTCTCCCATCCGGCCTGGGTACTAAGCGAAAAGTGGAATGTACAGCTGTTAAAATATTCCACGTTTCAATATTCAGCCTGGCTTCGCCGCTTTGTGCACGCTCGCTGTTGCTTAACCGCCAAGCTACGCAGGCTAGTCAGGAGCCTGAAAATAAGTGGCCTTCAGGCTTTCCTCGCTCGAACATTGCGTTTCAGGCTGTAGAAAAATCAGAGGTACCGTTTAAGGAGGACATTTTTGCGAAAAAAGTGTTAGAATATCAATTCAGTTTGTAGTTATTGTTGTTGTTTTCCCAGATTGTTTGGATCTAGGGCTTTATATCTAGCCGGATGTGTGTGTTTAAGTAATAAGTAAACTAGCGGTCTGAAGTCGCCGAAATAAGACTGACTGGTTAGAGAGAAAATAGAAAATCGTATTAACCGACTACTGAGCTGCGAGCAGCTGTTGCCTTACCGAAGATCGCAGCTGGCCCGCTTTTTTTTTTTTCTTTTTTTTTATATCTGTATCACTCCAAAAACAACAGACCGACTTATTGGTCATTGTGATATTCCATATTCCATATCACGAAAGTTTAATCAAGATGACCCTTTTCTCCAATTTTGCATCACGCTTTCCAGTCCTCCGAGAGTGAGGCCTTCCAAAAGATATTCTACGAAAACGATCTGGCGTTGTTTTCCATTGAGAAAACATGTACTAAAAATACCACAGAAGCGATATTGCTTTATGTTCTGGGCGTGATTTCTATGCTTAGTTCTAATTGTTTACTTTCTCTTCAAAACAAGAACGTTATCTCTAGTTTTAATAGACAGCCCGGCTGTCCAAATGGCAGGCTAGTATTCACCTCTTGGCCGGTTGGTCGCAATATCGTCACGATCAAGGTCGTCAGCGTTTCATTGATTTCTCAGTAGCGCAAAATAAATGTTTCCTCTTGCAAGATTCGAAATTAAAAAACAATTATTTTATATTTTATTAAGATGTCGAGGCCGCGAGGAGCAGACAATGGATTTCTAAGTGGGCGATTGTTTTGACTGGAAGCAAGCCGAGGAGGAAGATGAAAAGTGCTCTAAGTGCCTTGAACTTAACTTGTACTTTCAGTGGCAAACTCAGTTAGTGATTGCGGTAGATTTGAGCGGGAAGGCCTTATTTTTCACTCCGTGATTGGAAATCGTAGATTTCTTAATAAACGCTAATTAGCGTAGTATGCTCCCTTTCAAAGGGTCAACCTTGACACCGCTAATCGCAAACAGACATAAACAATTTAAAACGTCTTGGTTCTATTAATAAATGTCACGTTGCCTTTTAGGGCACGAGTTCGGTGGAGCATGATAAATGAATATTGACAAGCACGGCCGTTTCATAATGATGATTTGGCTACGCTGCGTTTAGGTCAGTCACAACGATCCATTCCACGAAATATGGAGCGAAATACAACGCAAAGATCATGCTGACAACATGATGGTGTTATGTGGCAACGCGCAGATTTTACCGTCGGAAAACCACATATCGAAAGGTATGTAGTCATTGGAAATTGTTGTGTTCTATCCGCATGACTTCAGTGACAATATGGCAGTTTGGCGAGGGCGCGTTTCACATTATAAAACGGAAGAGGGTAATTGCTTTTTTGTTGCGTATATCCCGTCTTTTGTTTTGTAGGTAAACTGTGACTAGTGCGGCAAAATTTGATTTCTTAATGGCGCGCTCGGTAGAAAAACGTTTTCATATCGCCAATGAACTGTCACGTAAATCTTTATTGAAATACCGGGTCAAGTGACGCAGTTTATTTGTTTTTGAGAATTTTTCGAGTCTGTTTACCGTTTTTTTTTAACAAAAATTATGAAACATCGCAAAAGCTTTGGGAACGAGAAAGTTAAATTAAGATGTCAGTTTTATATCTCCCAACACTTGCCGCTGTTTTGACAGGAATTGTCTTATGATCAGTGGTTGAGTTTCCGACACACACTCGCTTTCCCACAGACAATGAAATATCCACTGCGCGCCGGCCTTGACCGTCAGTAGCTCTTACATTTCAATTTCGTGGCGGCTTGTTCTGTACTTTAAACTGTGTTTGTGCTTCGTGACTATTGCTTTGGTAAGCCTATTCATTTATTGGTTTCTCGGTGAAACAAAAAACAGATTCTGCCCCGAAGTCGACGGGATTCTCTTTACAAACTGCAGGCTTCAGGCAACTAGATACCTAGAGAAATCTCGAGTTTGCATTCCGCAAGTGATTCTCCTTGTTAGTGTGCAGGCTGGGCACTGCCCTCTGGTTTGACTACTAAAATCCCTTCGTTCTGGCGACATAGGCACACAGAAGAGGAGGGAATCTGGTCTACAGATAAAACGTCACGATCGGTAGCTGGTGAAATCCCGTGGTCTTTCTTTAAAACCCTTGGAGCGAGAGTGACTAGATATCAGATTTATCGCCCGATTGAAAAGGTAATATTTCCCGTGTTATGTTACTAGATTTTTAGCTGATTTGAGGTCCATACGAGCGTTTTTGTTGACATTATAGACGTTTTGGTTGGTTTGTTGGATGGCTGATAACATTATCAAGATTCATTTATCATCACCGATAACAATGAAGCTTTTAGAAGCACGTTTGTTGTCGCTCGAGTCGTAATTGATTTCTCGTTGCACTCGCATGTGTTCTTGACCAAGTCGCTAATCATAAACTCCTTTTCTACAACACGAGTACCGCGTTACAAGTTCACGGGCCAAAATCACCATAATATAGATAAAATCGTGATTAGGAAACGGATGTTCGAAATTTGTAAACCCTTTGCTATGCGCCTTGATCAATTTGCGTTTTTTTTTCTTTCTTCCTCGTCGTTAAAGGCTTGGTCAGCAACAACGCCGCCCTCACGTCAAAAGTTATTAGTTATTATTTCAACATTATGGAACATTCATGCGGTATCGACTTGCGGTTTAATTAAAAGACGAAGGGGAACAAATAAATTGATAATTAAGACACGAAATCAGTAGTCGCTTTCGGACACCTTTTTGTCCTCGGAAAAAATGCGTCACTGTTGCGGATTAACAATAGTGGCTTTTGTTCAATATTTCGGTGTTACTCTTCAATAAAGGGCTGTCCCGAGTGCTAACCAAGGGGCCACTTTCCTTTAGTAGTATAGCCGATTCAGTTTCGCGTCATTCCAAGCATAGTTATTGTAAAGAATTTGCAGATTTGTCAGACCTTATTTTGACGGTGAGGACCACAAAGCGTCTTCTGGTTGCTCTTTCCCCTTTGAGGGAAAACGTAAAGCGTGGTTCACTAACCTTTGCGACATGAAACAACACGACTCTGTATGAAAAAAAATCCGGCTGTGTCAAGAGTTTCTGCGCAATAACAAAAAGCCGAGAGGAGAGCGAAAAGAGAGCAAATAAAACAACCGACAGATAAATTATAGTTTTGCAAGGTTGTTGAAGACTATAGGCAATACATGTAGCGGGGAAACATTACAGGATATTCAGTTGAACTCTTTCAAGCAGAAGTTTCTTAAAGAAAAAAGACTTAACTGTGGGTCGAACTAAGACATTTGACAGTGAACAAAATTGGTTTTCTCATACAAAGCGATCTGTCTTACGCTCCCGTACACGGGTGTTTTTTCGTGTTTTGCCGCTTTGCACAGTTAGTGTTCAGGTTCAACTCTTCGGTCAAATGAGTGGCCTTCGTTAATTTTTTTTGTCACAGATCAATATAATACTCCTGTTCACGCGCTAAACGATAACCTCATGCGAGAAAACAGTGTTTTCTTGTGCGGGCATGTTTCGATTTCGCTGGCGCTGCTCGGTTGGTACGTTCTGCACATCAGTGTGTTGATAGTTTTTAAATAGCTTGCTGGTGCAAGGAGCGATTGGCTACGGTCAATCATTGATAAAAAGACCGTGTCCTTGAATTCCGTCTAACTGGAGACGAACAGACGACAGCGTTATTTTGACAAGTTACATTCAGAGTTTTGTTGTATTTTATGTTGTGTACGTGCGTGCGATGTGCCCAACTTCTCTTGCGTGTTTGCGGATTACTAAATGATGTTAAAAAATAAAACCTCTTCCTGCTGAATTTCTCAACGTGTTAAGCATTTCCTTCCTTTGTAGTTATCGATAACATGCCTTTATTTTCTAAACAATTTTTCTTTTGTGTTTCAAATATTGGAGTATACAACTTTGTTTGAGGGGACTACGTAAACAAAATAAAGAAGATTTGTGGGATTATCTGTTAAACCAGGGGCCAATTTACGCAACGGGATCAAACGTTTTCAAACAAATATCGCGCACATAAACTTTCTCGGGTCGCAATAAATTTCGAGGATATTTCTCTAGCAAAATCTCATCAAATACTTTCTCCAGCAAAATTTGAAAAGCGCATCAAAGTGGCCTTGAGAGAAGTGGACAGTGTTGGGCTCCGTGAGTAATGGAGTGAGATCCCGGCAATCTCATCTCTTCTTTTGTGTATGTAACTACGTTTTTTATTCGCTGTCTGGTGACACAAATGGCCTGTGTGTCACCCTAAAAGCCCTAGATCAGAAGGAGAGGAAGATTAGTTTACTGTAGCATGCGTTTGTGCCTTCGCAGGCAACAAATGCATGGAAACAGAGCTAAGTAAACCCTTAGTTGCGGAACAAAAATCAAGAAAAATAAAATTGAAACAGAGAACGCGGATCATAGGAATGATGGAACGAGCTTTACGTTTCAAATTAAACATGTCTTTCTTAGCCGGTTATTGTAAATTTCACGTGAATTTCAGTCATTAATTCTCTTCCTTATCAAAATTTGCGTCGCGAGAGACGGAAGAGTAGAAACTTAAACTTTCTAAAAGATAAGCCTGACTTACAATTATTATTATTATTAGTTGTCTCAGGCTCTTCTTCAGTGTGACAGGTGTTAAGTAAGGTTTTTGACAGGTCTTCATTTCAAGGTCTCAGTGTTCGAAACCGCAAAGATTGAACGTAACAAAATCCCTTGAATCAGCTGGCTCATCAGTATAAATTTTTGTGAGGATCTTAGTTTGTCGTGGCTACAGGTCCTTTATTGACTGTACCTTTTAAATTGGTATGGGCTTCTTGCTTAAGACCGTACATGCAGAAACTCGCACAGTGCTGCGGGATTAAGATTTACAAGTTTGAGTCTCAGCTAGGATCCTGATTGGATTGGGTTTTAGGCTGGAATCTCTGCTAGCGTCTCTTCACTCGGAGGGTAATATAAAATGGTGAACACTAATTGCCTGATTTCAAGCCGAAAAGGACTAGGTACGAGTCTATAAATTACGGGATTAGCAACAGCACTATTGATCCACATAGTCAGAAAGAGCACACCGAGATTCACAAAATCCCCAAGTTTGGGTGCAAATAGATCCAATAGTAAGCAAGATACAACCATTTGAAAACATCAAAACTTACAAAAAATTGTATGGCCATGTCCGGATGACCAAATATTTCTGTGTAATTTTAGCGTTTTTAAATGGCTGCATCTCAGTCAAAACTAGCTTGATTAACACTAGACTTGGGGATTTTGTGAATCTTGGTGTGCTCTTTCTGACTATGTGGATCAATAGCTGCTAATCCCATAATTTACAGACTCGTACCTAGTCCTTTTCGGCTTGAAATCAGCCAATGGTGCTATGGTAGAATGGCAAAAAATGAGGGTAAAATAGCAAAATCTGTGTCAAGCTAAAGTAGAGGTAATTCATGTCCGATTATTTTAACATGAGGCAACTACAGCTAGTGTAGGAACATTTCTACTTGCCCCTAGATGGGTACCTCCAGCTTTTAACTCAGTGGAAGTTGTCCCATTTTATACGCCTGGGTGGAGCAAGGCACTGTGAGAGTAAAGTGCCTTAACAAAGAACGCAACACGATGACCCCAGCCAGGGCTGGAACCCTCACAGCTCAACTTATGCACACAACTCAACCAGTGTTTGACCAGGCTCTTTTGTCGTAAGAAATTGAAGCAGTGACCTAACGAGTCTAATCATCTCCATTTATTTGTTAAACTAAAGCTTCTGATTCTTTCGTAAATGGACGCAGATTTTGCGCAATAAACCACACTAGACTGAGACATGCACTTTGCCGCGCAAAAAATCAACTTTTCGAGCGGAGAGTTGGGGGGGGGGGGGGATACTGATCTTTTTTCTCTCTTTTTTCGCTCGACAATGCACGCCAGTCTATTTGATTTATATTAGCGCGCAGGGCACTTGTTGCACTTTATGAGTTCAAGGAAGCGAATTTATTGGAGACCGAGGTCGCTAGGTCACTTATTCGGAACAAGGCGCGTATTTTTATTTTTATTTTTTAGCCTTAATATCCTTCTCAAAAGAGGCGAGTGGACGAACTACGAACTGTGCACTTGCTCTTTTCTTCGTTATTAACTCTCGAGAAAAACAGAACAATGGTTCTCAATTCAAAACTAAACTAGCACCTGGTGCACTGTAATATAAGGCGCCATGATATAGGGCATGACGGGTCATTTGCAATAGTGCTGCTTACTATAGGGGGCGTGTATTCAGGGGGCGGGTCGTAGTCTGGGGTGATCATTGTCATTCTGGTTTTACATTCATGGCGGCAATACAAAATTTTAACGTAGATCATATCAAAAACTGATGGCTTCCGCTGTAGTCTCATTGTCGGCAAGCTCCCATCACAAGAAACCACAATATGCCAGTGGCTTTGCTTTTGACGTGGTGTAGATAACTTTGAATTTTTATCTGCTTATTGTTCGCTTCTTTTGCTTCACTTTACTGGTCAAATATGCATTCGATAGGTTACCCTTCAGTCTCTGGCATTTTCCTGAGGCGCTGAGCTTTATAAATAAGTACATAATCGTGTAAAGGTCACATATTTCTGCAGCAATATCACCAGATCCCAGAAACTCTCCGGCGTAACTAACTGACCGCTTACGTAGATCATGAGAAAGGGAACTAGATGGCAACAAGACTAATTTCCGTTCAATTAATGGAAATATTGTCGTGGTATGGTTAACGAAGATAAAAACAGCATCAATTAACATGGATTAGTTTATCGGGTAAATCTATAGGTATGTCGATTGACCCAAAGTTGGTTCTATTACCTTTAAAAACATCTAAAAAAAAGGTTGTGTGATTTCTTTCATAACATCTGTTCCAACTTTAAACGTCGACTTACCTTCCAACAACACTTTTCTATTAAATTTAACCCTTGCCAAGTTCATGGATTTTTGGGAGAGTGGGTGGAAGGGTGAAAACGAGCTTGAAAAGCGAAAGCTGGCCCCCTTTTCTTTCCCTTTTTACCTGCCGCTCTTGTCCTTGTTCTTGGAGCCCAGACCGTGCTGAGCACTATACGCGACGCAAAGCAAGCCGCTCTAGGTATTATCCAGGTCTGTCACGCAAAGAGATGTACTGCTTGCAATGCAACTTTCTTCGACTGTTCCATAGCAAGAAATTATTATCATATTCTCTTGTCCAT